TTTGAATTGCGCCCACCTTGTGTTTGAACACATGTAATAGCTCCTGCATACATATCTTTAATGATTTGAATATAAGCATTATTGACTCCTTTCTTTTCAAGAACTCTCCATAGCACTTCTCTTGGAACTTTATCATATGCTTTTTCTAAATCAATAAATATCATATGTAGATCCTCCTTATTTTCTCTATATTTCTCCATCAAACCTCTTAATAAATGTATGGCTTCCATAGTCGACCTACCCGGCATGAATCCAAATTGATTTTGAGAAACATTAGTATCACGCCGCAACCTATGCTCCATAACTCGCTCCCATAGTTTTAAAGTATGACACATTAACTTAATACCTCTATAATTCGCACAATCTTGTGCATCACCTTTATTCTTAAAAATAGGAATTAATACACTCATTCTCCACTCATCTGGCATCTTTTTAGTCTTCAAAATAGTATTAAAAAGTTTAGTAAGCCATGAAATTCCTTCATCTCCTAAGCATTTCCACACCTCTATTGGAATATCATCAGGTCCAACAGCTTTTCCACCCTTCATTTTCTTTAAAGCCTCTCTAACTTCAGTTTTACTAATATGCCGATAAAAACATAAATCTTTATTTTCATCTAGGGTGCTAAGGTCACTATAGTCAATCTTATTTTCACACTCTTCATTAAAAAGTTTAGCAAAATATCTCATCCATCTTTGTTGAATATCATCTTCTAAGAAAAGTATTTTTTGATCTTCATCTTTAATACACTTCACTTGAACTAAATCCTTACTACTCCTATCTCTTTGTTTGGCTAACTTATACATATATCTTTCTCCCTCTTTAGTATCTAATCTATTATATAAATCACTAAAAGCTAATGCCTTTGCATCGCATATTGCTTTCTTAGCATCCTTACGAGCCACTTTATATATTTCCCAATTATCAGAATTTTTAAAATTAAACCAATTTTTATAACAAAGCTTCTTATTTTTAATTTTTTCTTGCACATTAGGATTCCACCACCAACTATTTTTACTATTGGGAGCTTTTCCCTTTGATACTCCAAGGACATCTTTTGCAATATTCTTAATATCACTAGCCACTTTTTCCCACATAATATTAGCATCCTCATGCACAGACAAAATCTTAAGATCTATAATCTTATTCTCAAAAATATTTTTGTTAATATTCTTTAAATGCCCCCATTTAATCCTAGAAAATTGTTTTACTTTATTTTTTATTTTATGCCCTTTTATCTTAAAGTCCAAAACTAATAATCGATGTTGGGTACATAAATTTTCACTCGGAATAACTTTACAATCTTTACAATCTAGACGATTTAATTTTCTAATAAGAAAATAATCAATCTGGGTTGTATTATATCCATTTTTATAAGTGATGAGATGCTCATTCCTTTTCTTAAATAAAGTATTAGCAATTAAAAAATCATAAGCTAAACAAAAATCCAATATGGTCTTGCCACCTTCATTCGTCGTTCCGAATCCATGGCCACCATGAATGCTTTTAAAATCATCTACCTCTCTACCAACATGTCCATTTAAATCTCCTCCAATAAAAACTCTTTCTTCAAGAGGTATATTTTGTATTAATTCTTCTAAGTCATTCCAAAAATTTAATTTAGAGCTCATATCCAAACCTACTTGAGGAGCATAAGCACTTATAATATTAACAATCTTATCATCAACAACAATCTTTAAAGCTATAATTCTATCTCCAATCCTATTAATTTTTATAACATTATCCTTTAAACTCTTATCTATAATAACACCTACACCATTTCTAGTACGACTCTTTTTTCCCACATAATATCAGCATATTCTAACAAAAATAAAAAAAAATTAGATTTGTATTGAGATAGTGCAATATGTAGGTAATTAATTTTGCACTCATCTCAAAGCAAATCTTAAAATTGGGACCTATTTTTATCACTTTTTTATCAGGGTATCCGGATTTAAATTTTTCACACAATTATTCATATTTGAACTCCAAAACATTTAAATTTTGGGAACTTTGCATATTATATAATGCCCCTAACTCCATTGAATGCTGCTTCACTCTTATCTCATCTCACAACATAATTCTTCTGTAGATTTTCACTTGGCATGTGTGGATTCATGGTTGACTAAATGGGGAACGTTCTGCCCAATATGCAAGCAGGAAATGAACTCGAATAGGTAGGTTCTCTTTGTTCTGAATTTGTCAAATTCTAGCTCTCTACGTAGGAGATCTGCTCTTCTTATCTCTGTATTGGTTGTAGCTGCTAAATGTTGCACGACCACTACTAGATTTTTTCCAGTAAAAAGCACCTTACCAGTTCCATCCGTCATGTTTGTTTAAAAAATAAGAAAAAGAAAGATATTTGTTGCAAAGTGCAGGTGGTGAAGCAGAAGATTTGCGTTTTGTTTCTCTTTTCAGAGCTTATTACTTGTATTCTGTACACTTGTGGAAAGAGCTATTTAGAAGGATGCTTATGTAATACTGCATAGAAGGAAACTAAGATGCCTATGTACATAACTAATAGCAGATTCCTGTCAATTGAAGGTATTAAAGGGCCGTTTGTTCTGATGTTTTTTAGCGTAAAATAAAAGAAATATTAAGGGTTTTAAGTTTTTAAGTGTTTGATTGAGACAAATAAATGTAAAATAATTTTTTTTTTGAGAAATATGAATTTCTTTGCTTAGTTATTTTCACTGTACATTGAATTCGTCCAAATCTCGAGAATCCAAAATGCATGAGCTCGATCCTCGCTTCTGCTGGGCACTAACCAGACAGTTCCTTGCCTCCAAATGTCAAAACTACTTTGAATGACACACTTTTTAGATAGGTATATCTCCGATTAAGTATTTGTACGTAGCCATCAAGAGATATATTATGTATGCTATGATTCAATCGACTGTAATAGCAGATCACAATTTATTGGGGTGAAACAGATTAGAATAACATTAATTGGATCTTCTAGCTTCCAATGGAATAATTTTTTAAATAATAATATACCCCCTCGAAAGGATCAATGGAACGAGGGTTTTAGTTCTTTTCACATACACAACTGCTAAACCACCCGGAACAGTAAATAGTGGACAAAGGAATAATTTAAGATTTCATTTACAGAGATTGATTATAATCCCAAGAATAGATTTTATGAAAACCATGATCTTTTTTCTGTACATTATCAAAATATATGCAATTCATGCCAAATTACAAAAAGAAGATATTTACATTAGAATAATGTTATTGGAAAAGATATCTTCATTGACCAACCCTACTTATGATGTGCTAGGTACCAATCGAGTCGCTCCACTTTTATTATGAGATTATAGATGGATATGCTTGATTGATGTGAGGGATCTAGAGTCAACTATCATTCAAGTTGCTATAACACAAGGTCTACAAAAAGGTTAATTCCATGATGCATTAGGTTTGCAGGAGCTAAAGACACTGGCTGAAAGAGCTCGCTAACAATTGTGTGAAGTTTGAGTACTATCGAGTGGTTGAGTCCTTAGAGAGTTTGTTGCCAGAATGGGAGCATGAGAGGAGTCGTCTGTGGAATCCTATGGCTAACATGATCCACGTTGCCCTTTTTTATTATATTTTCGATCATTGATATCGCATGATTCATTGATTCATGATAGGCACCATTTACGTGATATCAATGTATCCTACCGGCGTGGGCTTCTCTGTTATATTTGGTCTGTGGAATCCTAAGTCTAACAAAAGGATGTTTTGTTGTGCTCATTTCTCATTGTTTTTTATTTTTATGAAATTATTTGCTAGAATGAAGATTGGCCGAAGGAGCTTCTTTCATATTAAGATATTGTAACCATTTTTGCAGGAAAGAAATGGAAATATATAAGGAATCTTGATTTTGTAAGTATTAAGAGGGTTGACGAAACATTGTTGAGATGATGAAAATTTTGACCTTCAAAAATAAAGGTCTGGGCTTAAAAAATTTGTCCCCCAGCCCCTCCCCCTTTCAGGAGAGTTTTAACGAAGTTTTGAAGTAAATTTTCAGAAGGAAGATTGTATTTGAAATAAGATACTACCCGTATATTTTTCTCTCATTTTGTGAGGACTTTATGATCTTAGTTATAGTTTTCTATAGGCGCAAGCCCTTGTAGTTAATTACCACTCTCGATAGTGAGAGAGAACTTTCGATTTAGGCTAGTGGTCAAAAATATATGTAGTATCTAGTGTATAGTAGCAGCATGGGTTTAGGAATTTTATAATTTGATATTTAAAATAAAAAATCCATCATCTTGCACTTAAAGTGGGTGGTGGGGGGGGAATGATGATGAACTCGATCAAGATCTTGTGGTTCCTTTAATTCGGGTCATTATGGTTCTTGATTTGCTTAGTCAAAGGAGGTAGTCGACCCAACATGATAGAAGGATCATTGTCATCAGTCATGGGTTTCTTTGTTCATGGGTATCATATATAACTGGGGTAAATATTTGCTTGAGGCAAATTTGAATCCACCTTAGTTGATAGAAGGCTTGGTGTCTTATCGATCATCTCTTATTGATTCATATCTCAAAGATTTGATGTCATTGGGGAGTATACAGGCTATAATCATAACCGTAATGTAGTGGAGTCGTTGGATCAAACCACTAAGTTAGAGGGTCGTGGTCATAATCTTTGATCACACATGTCCATATGGCTAAACCTTAGGTTCTTTATGGAGCCATTCAGCCAAACCACCGATTAAAGGACCAATGTTACGCTCTTACTGGCAGGAAACTATTTGAAAATAAATTCTAGTTATACTCTGTACCAAACATTATCTCTTTGTGAGTTGAAGTATATTTTTAAACTTGTCCACCTCAAAAAATTATTACGTATGGTGAATGATTTTACTTTAAGCATTTGATGACTTATTTCAATTTTAAATATTTTTTGTCTTGATATTTTTAGATATTTGAATTGTGTGCACATTTGGGTGGTATTTTGAATATTTGGAATTAACTCATCCGATTGAGATTTACGTTCAAAACGGTCATTTTTGGAGTGGTTTCGAGGTCATTTGAAAATATTTATATTTTGTGAAAGTTTAGGGGCATTTGAAAATATATGATCTCCTCTAGTTGAGATAAACATTCAACACAACTATCATCGGAGTATTTATGGGTAGTTTTCATTTTGTTGATTGAACTTTGTCTACTTGCCGACAAAGGATTGGATTTTTCGTAGGTTTTATGCATTTATTAGTGAATTTTCTTTGATTATAGGCCTTGAAGACCTAATATGAATATATAAAAATAAATATATCAGTCAATGCCGTGATCGTATATTTGTTTGATAGTTCGAGCCGTGCCGACTCATATCTACTCTCATATAAGGATCAGGCTCAAATTTAGATTTATCATTTGACCCGCGTAGCATCCTCAAACATCACGTGTTTAACCATAACACGCTCATCGGGACTTATGCAGATATTTAAGGGGGCATTTTAAATATTATATGTTAAACCTTGTTAACTTTATCTAATCACTGATAAAGGTTCACGTTCATTGCTAGCTTTATCTTTTTTCGGTGATATTTTCTTGTTGAGGACCTTGAAAAGCCTAATATGAATATATAAAATAAATATCTCGGTCGACCTCATGACCATAAATTTTTTTATGATTCGAGCTGTGTCGACTCCTATCTATTCATGTAGAAGGATTGTGCTTAAACTTAGGTTCATTCCTTGACCCACACAATATACTCAAGCATAATGTGTGCGCCTACAACACACTCTCAAGGTCCATACGTGTGTATGGTGTTACATGTATTTTGCATGGTGCATTTCTTTGTTATATTTGCATACTTGACGTACATTTATACTTTAATTCATATATTGATGTGCTTACATGTGTATTTTTGTATTTGTGTGTATATATGTTGTAGTATATTTGTGGGAGCATTTTGAAATATTTAGTGCTAAACATTTGTGCAAATGATCAGTATTTGGTTGTATACATTCCTTTATGTAGAAGCCTGTAAACGTCTTCTGCTCGCTTGTATGAATGTTATGGATTCAGTAATGTGACGTCGCACTATGGGTTGCTCGTTACTTTATACAAGTAGACTAGCATGCACTAACTAGTCTCCTAATATTGCTTGTGAACTCTTGCATTTGTTGCGTACTTATTGACCTCATTTTTGTATGAGGCCATTAGGAACTAGTTGGTTTTCTTACTGGTGACTTAATGATTAGAAGGCCTCCACCTCTTAACCATGCAAGTCCCAGCAAGAATCCAAGTCTAATCAAAAGCAATTTCATTCCCATCCAGACTCCAGCCTAGATCCCTCACCAAATCCAGTCTATGGTCCAGCTCAATTCTCAATCATATATCCTAAATTGATTTCCCATTAAATTCCAATCATGTTCAAATTATCTCAACCATTCATGTTATTGAGATTAATATGAACAATTCAATCCAATCAATCAGATTAAAATCCATCCCAAGTTCAAGGTTCCTGAGTCTAAATCCAAAGCCAAAAGTCCAAGTCCTGAAGCATATTCTGGGTGAATATTATATCACCTGGAATCCCTTTCATGTTGAAACTCGTTCACTATGAATTAGGTTGTTAGACCTAAGTTAATGTCTCAAGGCTAACCAAGAGGGGGGGGGGGTGAATTGGTAATTTAAAAATTATATTTCTACTCTTAGATTTTTAGAAAACATTTTTAATTATTAATGCAAGTTAAATTTAAAGTTTAAAAATAAACTTTTCAACCAGAGTAAACAACTTGCAATTAAATTAAATGCGGAAGAAAAATAAGAAAAAACACACCAGATGTATAGTGGTTCGGTCAAGTCTTGACCTATGTCCACTCCCCGGAGGCACCCTCCGAGTATTACACTAATACCACAAAGTGACTCTCCTTTTGCCCCCACAGCAAGGCGAAGAAGCCTGTACAAAATTACTTTCACCTTCCCCGGTGCGGCGGAGGAGCCGGGTCATTTGACACCAAAGAGATCTTCTTCTTCCCAAAACTTCCCTCAAGACGATCCTTGAATCCGATGGTACTGAGGTGCAAGTTCGCCGGACCAACCGTGTGAATATCTCCTACGCACTCCCTTGAAATCCCCTCCAAGGATCTTCTCCCTCTCAAACTCCACCCTTTCCTCTCTCCCTTTCAAGTTCTCTCTTCTAGTTTTCTCCAGAAGAACGAAGACACAATGACTGCCAAAGATACACTTTGTCATCCTTTTACACTCTCCAAGTGTCTGCAGAGAACCGGACCGATGTTGTTGAACTTCACTTGAGAGCCTTCAGAGGAGATGGGCAGAAACTTGAAGGAAACAAAGAGATCTTCACTTTAAGTAACATTGTGAATCCCTCACAAACCCCTGACTTGCTCTCACACTCTTCACTCATACAATCTCTCCCAAACATTCACACTCAATGATCCCTTTCAAGAGAAAACAACTCCAAAGGCAATTATAATAGTTTATAGGACTCCTTATATAGAAAGGATATATATATATATATATATAGTTTTTAAAAATTTTAAACAACACAAAAGACAAAATAAAAACAATCAAATACACATACGAAAATATACGATAAAACAAATAAAAAATACAAAAATACACAAGACACAACAAACAATTTCTCCCCCTTTTTGACAACATCAAAAAGTAAAGAAGAAAAAGACTAGAAATGTAAAC